AGAATAATTATAATCACAATATTACATCAACTGAATTCAGAATGTAAGATTTACTTCTCTGAAGCAGTTTCCTTCTTTCTCCGTACTTCACAATTAAAAAGTTGTAACAACTTGGGGAGAAAAAAAAACTATGAGAAGAGTTCAATAAAACATTGCCTGTTTCCTATTATTGCTTCTAACAATGTTCTGCTAATTTCATCCACCGGACTTCCACAGAATGAAAAGCCTGCTGCAGAAAGTGGACTTCTTAAACTGCCAAATGATTGTTATCAGATTGTTATTTTAATAGACCTTGCACTTTAAAATAAGCTTAAACCATCTTCTCCTTCTCTAGTTACAGAAGGCAGAATCAACCTCTAGCCATGTAGAATATATAGAATGTCAATCTCTGTTTACTTTACTCTGCATTTCATGCAACTCTAATTGCCAATTGTCTTTAGAAGCCTCTCATGTGGCAAAGAACAAACCAGCATCAGACTCCACATTTGCATGGTGCAGGTGGGTTTCTTCTTACTTGATGCAGCCTGTCGAAAACAGTATTGCAATTGTACATTTTTACAGACATGAAGGAATGTGTGGCTCCTTACACAATCACCCTCAGCAATAAAGACACAACTACATGTTTGAATTCCCCTGCAAAAAGTGATTTATAGCAAGTTAGTGGTTAAGGTACCAGGCTAGAAACCAGGTGACTGTGAGTTCTAGTTCCGCCTTTAGACACGAAAGAAGCTGGGTCACTTTGGGTTAGTCACTCTCCCTCAGCCCAACTCATGTTATAGGACTGTTGTGAGGAAAACAGGGGGAAGAAGGAGTATTAGTATATCTGCCACCTTAAGTTATTTATAAAACTGATAAAGGGATAAAAATAATAGAATTAATTATAGAAATGTGTATGATATTTTCAAAGGTTTTGCTCTAAAAATCTATTAAGATGCAATGTGCTTCCCAAAGACCCTGTCCTACTCTTCTGCATTTGCTTTTGCAGCCATAACTTCAATTTTTAATTAAAATTGCATGCAAAGTGTGTCACCCACAAATACGCCAACACACATTTTTCATTGTATTTTGGTTAAAAATTTGAGGGTCTGTTTATCCACACTTGGGAGTATGTACAGTACTTCCTTACATTGTATGCATTAGTTGCAAAATAGGCTTCCCTTGATTGCTTAAAGGAAATACATTTTCATTATATTTTCCAACAACTGTTTTTCAGAAAGCAAGTTTGTAGCAATGGAAATAAAAGATATATAGACATGTTTTTTACATGCAAAATACAATATCTGAATGTTTTTTCCAGGTACATCCACCTTGTTTTTTGTCATTTTTCACTGTACAGATTTCCCAACCCATATAATCTTCCCACATCCAAGATTCAGAATGCTATAATTCAAACCTAATTAGGGAAGAGTAGATTACGAAGGCCACATTAAGTTATCTACAACCTTACAATCTACAATGTCTACAACACTTTTGAACCTTTGGGATTTAACTTACTTAAAATATATTTATTTTTTTTCACATAGCATCCATAAGATAAATTCTGTGATCTTTTTATTGTGGGATAAATTAACTTTTCTGCATTATAAAGGAGTTGCATCTTCATAAAACTAATTTTCAGCACTGTTGATACCACTACCATGAAAAAATATGTGTTAACAACTGTAGCATTTGCCACAAAGAATTTGATAACTAAGTAGTTATAAATAGGGCCCATATGGCAGTGACCAATGCTTAAAGATCCCATGCTGTTATCTTTCCGTGGAAAGAACTGTCTGCTTCAGATGGATCTAAAGCTACAGTCCTTTTTTTTTTTCTTTCTGTGACAGTCTTCCTGAAATTCTATTAGGGCTATTATACATCTGCTGGGCCCCCTGTTTTTCAACTCTCCTTAAATGGTCATTTTCATCTCAAATATCAGCAGGGGAGGATCAAATCAGAGGTCTGTCACTTTATTTATTTATAAGGACATTTGTAGTCTGGACTATGAGGCAGATACACCAAACTCATCACAACTGTGTAACAATAGAAGCAGTTTCATTTGGCATTGCATATGATGTGTGTAAAATCCAACACTGGCATTTAGGTGTTGAATTAACATTAAAAGATGGTCAGCAGTACTAGGTGTGGTTAAAATGTAGGAAGTCCTTGATTGAGTTTCAACATCCTTTTTTAAAATAAAATCAGTCAGGATGGGAATAGCTACCTAAAACTGTTGTTTCTGTTCCCACTCCCAGGAAGAAATACAAGACTAGATAAAATACAAGTCTGACTCAATAGCTTTTATGACAATTTAATGATGCTAACAGAGCAATTGTAAAATATTATGAGCATGACAAATATCAGGTTTAAGTTTCAAAACAGCCACAGCCCAATTCTTAGTGCCAGACAGAATTATTTAATATGACTTGTTGCAGGTGTCTGGCCAAAATTCTGATTTGAGAAGAAACTATTCATTTCATGCTGCCATAAAGATAACCTTTATTGTCATTTTTTTTCTGTGAATAAAGAGGCTATGTCTGATCATTCAGGTACCAAAGCTGGCTTCAGGATCATAGAACTAGATGGGATCCTGATCATTCAGTTCAACTCATGGTCAGCATCCAAACCCAAACTAAAGCTAAAGACACATGGCTGTTTAATTTCTACTTGAACATATATGGTGCATGGAGGCCCACCAATACCTTGGGTAACCGCCTCTTCTGTAAAAGTACTCTCTCTGTAAAGAAGTTTTCCTAACCCTCCATTAGCATTTGCCTTCCTATATCTTAATTCCATCACTCTGCAACAAGAGAACCAGACATGACCTTTTATAGGAAAACCTTTCAAATCTTTGAAGAACGCTCTCATATTCCCACACCATTGACTTTTCCCAACACTAAATATACTCAGTTCCTTCCATCTCTCTCCATATGAGAGTTTCTAGACCCTAATCAACTGCTCAAATTCTGACCCCAAATTGCCCCCTCTATTGATGTTCACCTCACAGAACAAGTGAGTCTTGAGACTTTGTTTTTATATCACTTTTAATGCATATAGAATGCAACAAGAATAGGAATAAATTGTATAATGAAATCCATTTCAGTAGTGGGCTAGGACTCAGTTTATTTCATGGAGATAAAGCAGGCTCCATATGAAACAGATATTGACATTCTCCAGAAACTTTTTATAACATGTATGTGATGACCCAGGGTGGGATACAAAATAAACACAGTCACAGAAAACAGGTGAGGCCCCTTTTATTCCTTCACTTTGCTTCTAAGCTCCAAATATCCTTGACTAGAGACAAAAAACTCCCACACAAGCAGTTACAAGAAGGAGGAACTGCCATTTAAATTATAAAGAATAAAAAAACAACACAAACCAGGCAAGATAAGGGCTTGAAGACGTCCACAGATATCAGAACACATGGGAAGGACGCCAAACTCAGAGAGGAACAATAAACTTAGAGATATTTCCACGCTTTATTTCCAGCACTTGCCCGTACGCATGTCCGTCCTCTTATCCAGTTGTCACAGCTGCAGCTCATGAAGAGGATCAAAGCCCTCTCCTTCCCCCGTAGACCACTCTCTCCCTTATCCTCTCTACCCTGCATGCCCTAGGATGGAGAGGGGATGGGCCTGGGTCCTCTCTGACTGCCCAGACGGTCTCTGCCCTTCCCCAGTCTCCTCCACAACTCCGGAGCCACACTTCCACTCCCTGTCGGCTGTTCCTCCTCCCCCTCAGAGTCAGTCTCCACCAGGGGCATGACAATGTATGAGAAATGTGGTTCTGTAGATTTGAATAAATACAATATTACCAGCACTAGACAGTATGGACAAATTACAAATCTGGAAATGGGAAACTGCAGATTCTCCTGAAAAGGATCTAAGGCAGGGCTGTCAAACTCCCAGCCCGCAGCCAGATGTGTCACATGCTGGCCACGCCCATGACTGGTTTAGCGAAGGGGGGGAAGTCCCAATATGTCACATGATGCCGTGATGACGTGAGTTTGACACCCCTGATCTAAGGTCTCCCATCACCCATAGTTATATTAGTTGTGTGTCACTGAGATAATACTTAGCCCGATACTTATACCATACAATGCAAAGTTTCTGTTCTCTTAAAATTATGAATCCTTAATGTCAGACATTATCTGACTAGTAACATTGACTTTCCAGAACCTTTCCTATTATCTTATAATATTTCCTGTGGAAAGATATTTCTCAAACTTATTGTATGTTACAGGGAAATACTACTACAGTTTCTCCTGCTGTAACCAGCAACAGGACTTAATTGATTGACCAGCATTACCATATTAAGAGTATTATTTGTAGCAATCAATACAGTTAGAGGGGAAAGAAGGAAAACATACAGCATAATCACTTAAAAAAGAACCATTGGCGGTGACAACACAAGATCAACTTTTGAAGAGCAGCCCAATGTCTTTTAAAATATAACATTCTAATCTTAAATATATACTTCTTTTATACAAACAGTGTCTTGGCAAACAAATGGCAAGTATTAGTTTGGTCTTCTAAATTCATTAGATTTATAACCAGATTTCTTCTAGGCACCAGCATGAAAGGTGCTTCTTGGTCCAACTGTTCTTACCACAACAATCCCCTGACAATATTGATTCATGTCAGCCAATTAGCCTCCATGACTTTGTAAGAACCTGGGTCCCCAGTCCTGAACAGGGACACACACACATGCTATATTTTATCTGTTCAGCTTGGATCACCATCCCAAGCATCAGCAAAAATAACCAATAACTTGTCAAAGTCAACTTTTTTATTTTCATTGGGAAGTGCCTATGCCTACAAGTTGGTGTGAGAGTTCATAAGAACAAAGGGGACAGGCAGGAAATACCACAAATGAAGGCTTATGGTGGATCAGTAAGAAATGTGCTGGGCCTCCAGGGATTTGAAATGTGAACTCCTTGTTCCAAAACCGACTGAAGAATCTGTGCAAATACACAAGGACTCCCCCTTCACACCCCTGTCTCTGCAAATCAAACTTACCTTATAATTGCTGGAATTTACCCACGAGGTAGCAAGACCATCAACCATTTTGTCCAGCATGGTCTGATCATGTTCAAGGTCAGCAGATTTCTGTTTATCTGAGAAATAATCTATCAGTTCTTGGCCAACCTGAAGACGTTTCCCAACATCTTTCTGCAGGACCTGCATCAAGCAGGACTCCATTGTGGGTTCCATAATGTTCTAGAAAGAGGGCGGAGACAAAAATGAAACTAGAGGGCGGCAGGTTTGAAAAGTCCTCCTGTAGATATTATCCTTGAGGTCGTCTGTTTGAAGAAGGTTACCAAGGTCCTGGATTTCAAAGATGTGATTTTGGGAATGACAACAATGCACCATGTGTGTCTAAAGAACAGCTGGCAGGTTATGAAAAGTTCAATTCAAAAAACTAGTAATAGATAAATAAAGCAGAAAGCAGACCAGCCAGGGTGTAGGACCAGGTTTGTGGTGCTTTCCAAATCAGCAGTCCATCCTGAAAGAAATTTTAAAGAGGCAAAAGTTAGCGGCAAATATTAAGCAGAAACGTACCTTGCACAAAATCCCAAATTAGATATCTGACATTTCCATTTAGAAAGAACGGATTTTCATTGCAGTTCTTTTTCAACTCACCATTATGACAAATAATTAAGGTTCTAAAAATGGGGAGTAAAAACTTGCATGTTTTTGTATCTTATGTAGTATGTCTGTCTTAAAATTAAAACATGAAGCTTTAATGTAATAAGATGCTAAGTATTCAGAAAATGTGCGCGCACGCATGCACACACACACACATCACCCCATTTTGTTCGGTAACAAAAACATGAATCTATAATGGACTATCAGGAACCATATTTAAAAAGAGAAGACACTTCACTACAGGATCTATGCATCCAAACCAGGTTAAGTACTACATCAAGGGGGGGGGGGGGAGAAAATGCACAACCAAGATACAGAACAGCAAGGTTTAGGATAGTCTTAAGGAAAATCAATACTGGATGATGATTTTTAAATACTAAAACAAGCATCATATTTATAATATGGCTTAACTGATACTGTGGGAGACGTTCCATAATCAGGAATGTCAGAATGCTATTCTGAAACCTTCTCTTACTGCAGCGCAAGCAATACACTGGCATGAACGTTACATCATTCACAACACTCCCATATAGCATCTAACAGGTCTCCATTTATCTTTGCCCTCTTTGGGATTTTCTGAACTGTGCCTGTCTTTCCCACTGAATGTTGTCATGTTCGCAGGATCCTTGCTAGATGTGCAGCTATTTGGATGCAATGAAGGGAAGCTTCTTCTCTAGTTACACAGATTCTATTTTTCAGCAGCTTGTTAAGTAAGGCATGGCTTTCTCAAGGCTTGCTATACTTGCACCCGAAAACAGGTGAACTTAAGAGGTGTTAAGGAGAAAGCAAACAGCCTTACCACATAGCATTGTCAGATATCTCCCTGCTTGACTTGATATAAAGTTCTTCTTGTAAAATACAGCGCTTGGTTTCTGCCAGACATAATAATATCCAAGTAGATTCAAAAGTTACTCATTTGATCTACCTGTCCACAGAACATTCCTTCAGAAGCTTGGAAGACTATTACATGTTTGTTTGTTTGGTGTGTGTATGAACTTGAAATGACCATGAATGTTCTGTTTAGTGAGCAATAGCATCCACCTTAGCTCTCTTCCATGAATCTCATGTTTACCCTGTGTGTGTGTGTGTGTGTGTGTGTGTGTGTGTTCTCATAAGCACTTATTTTTAGCAAAGGCAAGAGTGGCTTACAAATCCTTGGCTATTTTTCCAGGGCATGTTAGGTCTTCCTGAATAATTTTACACTGTGTTCTGAGAATAATTTTTAACCATTCTTAGGAAGATTGCCTATTCAACCTCTCAAGATGATATATTCGTAGATCAACAGAACTCCAAAGCATTAGAAATGCTTTTCCAGAGAGTTATGTATCCATATTCGTTGTTTTTTTTTTCCAGAGAACTTCAGATTTGGAGCAAGGCATTAGAAGGCCTCTAAAATCTAAAATTCTCATAGGGACAAAGGGAACCAAAGTTTGTGAGATTTCTACAGTGACTGGCCCAAAGCAACCTAGATTGTTTAATGAAGCTAGCTTTGATTATTGGATTGAAATGACTATATTAAGGGGCAATTAATACCAGTGGCCCATTGCATGACGATACTGTGCTTATGAAATAAATTTCCATGTCCTTCATCTACTCAGACTCTCTTTATAAATCAGCATCAATCACATGAAGCTTTGACAATATTCATTAAGAAAGATACAGTATTTAAAACTTCAGAAAGGAGAATCTGCATTTACCAGATTGTGCATGTGTATGTATGGTTAAAATCTTATGATATCATAAAATCTTGCAAGACTTTAGCATTCAAACATGAAATCACAAGAGAAACAAACTTTCAGAAAGAGAACACTGAAATCTTGTGAGCTGCTGGAGTGACAATTCTGAAATCTCAACATGTCAATTATTGTCTTTTGTATTTTGGTACCCAATAATACATGAGACAAAATTTTGTCATGAGTTCTCCTTCTGAAAAAGCTGCTGGATCTACCATATTCCTATGTAGAGTAGATTCAATATAAATTTGCTAATATAAAAGCTGGATTAATCACATCGGTGTTGGAATATTCTAACTGCTCAATTTTACACATGTCCAGTCAAAAGTAAACCTAATTTCAAACTTATCTGGGAGCCAGCCACCTTGAATAAATTGATAGTACAGGTTAGTTCTCAACTTATGATAACTTACCATCACAATTGAGCCCAACTTTTCATTGCTAAGTGTGGCAGTTAATTGTTTTTTCCCCCATTTTACAACATTTTATTAAGCAAATCCCTGCACTTGTTAAGTGATGATCCATTCATGTGATCATTGAGCAAATCTGGCTTCCACATTGACTTTGCTTAATGGAAGCCACTGGGAAGGTTATAAATGGTGATGACATGACTCTGGGATATATATGCCATAAATACATGTCAGTTACCAAGCATCCGAATTTTGATCATGTGGCCATGGGGAATGGTGCAACGGTTATAAGTCTGAAAATTGGTCATAAGTCACTTTTTTCAGGTGTAATTCCAGGTGTAACTTCAAATGATCACTAAATGAATGGTTGTAAATTGAGGACTACCTATATAAATTGCAAATATCAGGTATCATGATACCTACTGGCAAAGTTCTCTAATCTCAGACACCTGGCATCCTCAGGATTTCTTTCCGAAGGCAATCAGGCTCCTAAGCTGACACACTCCTATTTCTAATGCAACTGAAGCCATGAAACTAAATACCATAGACTATCATAATTCAAATAGAAAAAGTTGGATTAAACTGTCAGTATTCAGACTTGTTATGACTACTAATTTAATGACTTCTCTGAGATAACACCAAATAAATGCAGGGGCACTTTGTTCTATTACCCAGGTTATTATAAGAAGCGCAACCATAGGTGCAATCCACATGCTCATTTGAAAGAAATTTACATTGCAATGATTGGTATGTACGTTTGCAGAAACCTGAGTTGACAAAATATGCATTCATAATCTCTTAACCTGTTTCACCAGCTAAGGGAAGACAAAAATACAACTGGGCAAGAGGTTAACAACAGATTGCTTAGAGTAATTGTGATTAGCTAAAGGATTGCTTATAAAAACTGAATTCTTGTTTCTACCACTACCACACAACACGGTACACTAGCAAAAAATGATGCGAGCAAGCAAGAATAGGGACCCCCAACTCAGAAACCATGGAAGAAATATTTCCTTAAAACCACCTGAAGCACCTTTCAGGTATCCGGTATTACCAGACTCCTACAATCCAACAGGTTTGGATATGCTTGTTTTGGCTGCTTGTTAAGAGCAATTTTAGAATGAGTAAGTAAATAAATAATAACTCCCTCACTTTACCATGTTAAACAGTGACTTTAACAATGAATTGGATTACACAACCTGAATTTTCAGCAAGATAAGTGGCACCACTGCTAACATGCAAACTATCAGGAATGGGTAATACACTTCTAGGCCCAGGTTTATGGCTCAACAAATATTTCTTCCCAATACTAGTAAGCAGTAATTCATGTTTCACTGGGCACTGAAACAATTCAAAATTTTGCTTCTATTCCATTTAGAATTATTTGAGTTCATTTAAATGAGTATATTCAGACCAAGCAGGACTTGTGCTGGCTAAAGGCTGGATAGCTAACTTTACTGTTTGCAATCTTATCTTCTTCTTCATCACCATCACCCTCATCATAGCATCAGCATCATCATGAATGCCTTTCACTCAGCAGTGCAAGGCTGCATAGTTAGCATTTCCTCTTTCCATTACACCACCGTGAGATAGATGATCTGATGACCTTCCATGACTGAGACCGGCCCTGAATATAGGCCTCTCCAGCACCCACCCAACTCCTTAACCACATGAAATACATACATAGAGAATTAACGCGAGTTTTTCTTTGTCCTTTTCCTACAATCCAAGCCCCAAAGCACTACTTGTAAGCAGAACTTCCCACAGACCCAAGGACACACTGCAGGTTCATGACAACAGGGCCAGTTCTCCTGTATCACTTTACCAGCAGCTGCAGCCTCGCTCTTCCCTGCCCCCTTAAAACAAAATGAATTTCCCTCATGTATGTACTCTACTTTATTAAGTCTGACAGATACACAATCTCCTCCTGTCCTCCGGCCATGCTCCACAGTCCTTCAACCTTGCAACCATGACTTGGAATAGAAGGAAACTCCTGTCTGTCTGCAGAGAACAGTCTCTTTGCCCTTAAGTACTCAAGTCCCAGCAAGTCTCTTTTCATTTGATGAAAAGAGGGCAGATCTAATAATAATAATAATGTGACATGCCTCTGCTTCTGCAAAAGAAAAAAAAAAGTAGGGCATGCTTGAAGGAAAATGGGTCAAGTTCAGCACTAAAGTGTGTGAATGGAGCAGATTTTTTTAAAAAGCCTTGATACGTAAACAAGCAGAGCATGACCTAAAGGCATCGTGCCATCCAAAACATTAGAAGTGTAGTCTTTATCAAATCAAAGGAGATTTCTGCAGATCTGTCTCTTCTTTCCCTTATCGATATAGGAGGAAAGCCCCCTTCATCTGCAGGGCAAAGAATCAAAGACTTAAGCTGCCATGAGCTGCAGCTCACTTATCAGACCTCCTCTTTTTTTTCCAGGTCATCATTCCTACAATCCTCTACTTTTATGAAAAGCAGCCAGAGCCCGTAAAGTAAACCAATTCCTCCAAAACCAATTCCTCTCACAGAAGAGCTGCCGGTTACGCTGCTGTATTCTGTTACTGCCTGCTTTTCCATCATTTTAACAGAAACATTTATTTTAAAAGAATAAATATCATGAGGAATGCTCAGCCAACTGCTAAGATTCCAGCTGAAGTCTCAGACATCGGACAAGAAATTGCATAGCAATGAGAAAAAAAGAAAAGAAAAAGAAGCCCCACGTTTTT